TATATATATATATATATATATATATATATGTATATATATTAAACGCCTTTTCCACTATACATATTTAAAATACCGGTGCTCTTTGCCGATAAATGCTCACCCACTACTATTCACTTGTATCATCCTGCCCACCTGCGCCTTTTTCTTCCGAGAGTTCTACTACTTTATCACGCCACGTTTTTTAAATCGAGTATTATATTATATATTATATTATATTTATACATTACGTATATATATATACATTACATATTATATTATTATTATATTGTCGCACGCGTCGGTGCGTGGCCAACCAATATTTTTGCCATTTTGTAAAACGTTGAAATTCCCACTCACAGTATCTCGCTTGTGCAGCGTTTTTTCACCACTGTAAGAGTAGAACCCGCTAAAAACAGAGCTAACCACCTCTAATCGATTACCCAAAATTTATCGTACGTATCGATGCGCGGCGGGCAATACAGTATATACAGTTATATAGTAGAATATAATCATCTAAATTAATCCTAACGCTTTAATTGACAAAATGCCACGCGATGACTGAAATATCTTATTGATTTATAGTCATCGCGTACAATATTATTTGCATTATTAATCGTAACGTCTGGCATCGACACAAGTTATTTAACCAAACTCTCCTCTATCTCATCCACTAACCTTCATTCTCACTCTATTGTATAATATTATCTTTATCACTATTTCTCTCTCTCTCTCTCTCTTTCTCTCTTTCTCTCTCTCTCTCTCTCTCTCTTTCTATCTATATCTATCTCTATCTCTATCTCATAAAATTAATCTCCATTTGTCCATAAAACGAAAGAAAGTTAATAATAATCATGTTAATTGAATTTTTGCATCATCAATAATAGATTTATCGATTAAATTGATTATAAAGTGGAAAAAAAAAGAAAAATAAAAGACAAATTTTTAAAGAAAAGGAACGTGTTGTTGCTTTCAATTGATAGACTAAGCGATGATCAATTCCGAAATTTCAATTTTATTTTTTTTTATATGAAATATGATGTACGTTAAAAATGATTGATCGATAATAAAGTTAAAAAGCTTCGTCTAACGAGCTCGTTCCTTTTCATTGTATCTTTTGTATATTCTTGTATTTTTTTTCTTCTTTTTTTTTTTTTTTGTATTCTTCTAACGACGTACCTGTCTTTAAATCGCTAACGACCAGTAAAAAAAAATAAAAAAAAATTAAAAAAAACATTAGTAATAATCTTTGGAACCGCGATAGAATTGTTTAAAGATATGCGTTGTAATTTTCCAGTTCCTCCACGGTGGATCGTTGAACCAACAGATAGCATAAGTGTCGAAAGAAACAAGCACGTTGCTTTGCACTGTCAAGCACAAGGTGTACCGACACCTGTTATCGTTTGGAAGAAAGCTACAGGTAAGTGTATCTCGTATGAAAAAAAAAACATGTTTGCATATCACACAAGTTAGAAGTGAAACCTTCAAATAAACAAGTTTCGAGGATATATAATTTATTATATAATATTATTATAATATTATTTGTACTTTTAATTTGCAATTATTTATTTTATTATTAATTTAAGTATAAAAATGCGCGCCTGTTCTTATGCAACCCTCCAGACACAATTTGAAAATATTGCTTGCGAGCGCCATTTACTGAGACGGAATTATTTTACAGTCAAAACTGTTTATACACTTATGTACGACGGGTTGCCTATCTTTTGGGCAGAAAAAAATTCCATCCCGACAGATGGCGCTCGCAATCAACATTTTCAAAGTTTGTCTGGAGGATTGCATTCATACAGGCGCACATTTTTATAATAATTACAAAGAAAGTAAATAATAAAACACTTTAAAAAATGTTTGCAAATCAAATATTTTTATAAATAATGATGATTTATAAATAATAATATGTTTGTCTCTTTTTATCTTCTTACGTAGTATTAAGGCCGTTTCTTTCCCCCACTATATCGTCCATTTCTTTTCCCCACTACATCACCGCGTTTCATTTTTTCAAATCACACCCATTCTAAAGAAGTTTTCACTTTAAAAAAAAAAACAGAAAAAAATAGATGTTACTCGTATGAACGAAATTTAAAGCCTAAGGCTTTTAATCGTAGGAAGTAAATCTGGCGAATACGAGGAGTTTCGAGAACGAGCATACACTAAAATTTTAAGCAACGGAACCCTCCTCTTACAACACGTGAAAGAGGACAGAGAAGGGTTTTATCTTTGTCAAGCGAGTAATGGTATTGGATCTGGCATAGGCAAAGTTGTACAATTAAAAGTTAATTGTAAGTATTTAATAAATTGTTCATATTAAATATTTTTATGTTTTGATATTGAATTATTTGTTATTTTAATTTAAAATAACAACATAGCATCACCATATTTCGCTGCACCATCGCGATTGGTCACGATTAAGAAAGGTGACACTGCTACGTTACATTGCGAGGTACACGGTGATAAGCCAGTAACCGTAAAATGGTTAAAAGGTGGAAAAATTGAATTGAATCCTTCGACGAATTATCGGTAATATGGATATATAATTTTATTTATTCCACGCAAATGTGAAAGAATTAATTTCTTTTTTTGGTAAAATAAAACCTTGGATAAAATTGATAATTTTTCATCAAAAGGGTCACCATAAATCAGGAAGCAACGCCCGACGGTGTTCTCGCACAAATGCAAATTTCCTCGGCGGAAGCATCCGACAGTGGAGCATATTTCTGTCAAGCTAACAATCTTTATGGTCGCGATCAACAACTTGTACAACTCCTCGTACAAGGTACAAAATAATTTGAGTCCGAGAAATAAATGAAATCTTTAATTTAGGAAAAATGATTAATATTAATTGTCTTTTATAGAACCACCACAACCACCGAACAATTTAGAAACAGCTATGATCGCTAGTCGAAGTATTAACGTAAAGTGGCAACACAAATCACAAGATACAAGCGAAGTTACCAAATATATACTTCAGTATAAGGAAGGCGTAGGTAAGCAAAATTACTTGTACAATATAATAGTAATTAAATTAAACGTTAATTTCGTTAAACAGGTGGTATGTGGCAACAACAAGAATTTGTCGGACCGCCTTTACCCTATGCCGCGTTAATCGATGATCTTAAACCTGCTACGAGATACACGATACGAGTGATTGCTGAAGGACCAGCAGGTCGTTCGGCTCCTTCGGCAGAACTTTTGGTAAGGACCGAACCTCAAAGACCAGCTGGACCCCCTATTAATCTTGCTGCAAGAGCACTTTCTTCATCGGAAATTTTGATTACTTGGTCACCACCGTTGCCCGAACTTCGTCACGGAGACATACAAGGCTTTAACGTCGGTTATAGAGAAACTAGGTAACGAAATTTCTTCCTCCATTTAACTCGTTCCGTACTTCATTGAATTCTCTTTTTATTATTCCATTGAAAGTAAAATAAAAGAGAATTCATTATAAAACGATTAAAGAGAAATTTGTCAAGAAAATAAAAGTCTTAAACGATCTTTCTAGCTCAGGAAATCCATCGTACAACTTCACTTCTGTATCCGGAGATGGTGAAGAAGGGGGCGGTGAACTTCGTTTGACGGGTCTTCGACCTTACACGAGATACTCCTTGGTCGTTCAGGCGTACAATCAAGTCGGATCTGGACCTTTATCCGAGCCATTACTAACGCAGACATTAGAGGATGGTGAGACTCGAAATTACCTTCCGCCGAGATCGATATGACGTTAACGTTGATTGCTACAAAGCTTCAGAACTTGCTCCCTTTCAGTTCCCAGTAAACCACCGGAAGATGTAAGATGTGCAGCGCTTACTTCGCAATCTCTTCAAGTATCTTGGCAGCCACCCTCTAATACACATAGTAACGGCATTATTCAAGGTTATAAATTGAATTACGAGCCGATTTTAGCAGACACGTGGCTTAGCGCTAACAAAATGGAAGTAAGTATTATCTCGTGAAAAAAAATCTAATCAAAAATTTAAATAAAATTAATTTATATATATATATATATATATATATATTTAGGATAACATATTCTTTTTATATTTTATATGTATTTATGCATGTATGTATATTTTTTTTAGGTACGTAAAACTAGCGCTTTAACGATAGTTCTAACAGATCTTAAAAAATACACGAATTACACAATACAAGTACTGGCCTATACGAGAGTAGGGGATGGAGTTCCTACTACTGTTACTTACTGTCAAACCGAAGAAGATGGTATCATTATTACATCTATTCTACTTTATCCTTATTTTGTACCGTGTCTAATTTAACGTTATTACAGTACCTGGAAGTCCAGCTGATATTAAAGTGGTCGTGAGTTCGCCCCAGGCTCTTTTTATTTCCTGGTTACCACCATTGGAGCCTAATGGAATTATCACGAAATACAATCTCTATACTAGGTATATTATATAATTTAATTTAATTTATAAAAATGAAATTTTTTTATTTTATCTTAATTATAACGATATTAATTATACTATAGAGTTGTCGACGGTCAAGGTGAATTAAATCACGGCAAGAGAAACTTACCAGCTACGAACACTCATTTCGAAGCTACGGGCTTGCAACAACACGTAGAATATCAATTTTGGGTAACAGGTATTACTCGAGTTGGCGAAGGCCAAAGTTCGAAAGTAGCTGTTCAAGTACCAACTAATAGAGTACCAGCAAGGATCACGTCCTTTGGTGGTCACGTCGTAAAACCATGGAGAGATACGGCTACCTTAGCTTGCAATGCGGTTGGTAATCCTACTAGAGAATGGTTCAAAGGAACCACCACACAAATTAGAATTGATACTGCCAGAAATGCACAAATTTCACCAAACGGCGAACTCGTCCTATCAAATTTACAATCACAAGATTCTGAAAATTATACTTGCCAAGTAAAAAACATGGAAGGAAGCGATAAATTACATTACAGTCTCATTGTACAAGGTAACATATTTTTTTATATAATACAATATTGGCATACTTAAAATTGTATCACTTTGTATTTATATTTTTTCTAGTTCCACCTAGTGCACCTGTATTATATGTAACAAGTTCAACGTCAAGTAGTATACTACTACATTGGAAATCTGGTTATAATGGTGGAGCACCTTTAACCGGTTACACGTTACACTATCGTACAACTCATGGTAATTTAGATGAGCTGCATCTCTCTAGACATGCTACTAATCACGAACTGAAGGTACGCTTTCTAAAGAAGTATTTTGAGTATATTGCAATTCAAAAAATAATATTTGCTAATAATAAAATTTAACAGGGCCTTCTATGCGGGAATACTTATCAATTATATCTAACATCGCATAATAAAATTGGTAGCAGTCCTTCGTCACCAGTACTTTCCGTACGAACTCAAGGACAAGCACCAGGAATACCACCATCCGCGGCTTTTCTTAATCCTAACTCGACATCGTTGGTTTTAAGATTACACGTTTGGCCTGACAATGGCTGTCCTATTCTTTACTTCGTTATTCAATATAGACCTGCGACCGATTTTCATTGGACTTTAGTCTCTAATAGTGTTAAAATGCAACGAAGGTTCATCGTGACACATCTAACACCAAGCACGGTATATCAATTGAAGGTCGAAGCTCACAACGTTGCTGGAAGCAATCAGGCAGAATTTAGTTTCGTGACTTTGACAAAGGAAGGTGGTAAGCTCGAACGATATTTATAATTATCATTTGAATTGCTTGAAAATGTCATCATTTCGCTGCTCATTAATCAAAATTAGTAAAATTGAAAGAATTATATCCAAAAGGCACTGTGTTCCTGTAACATTGCAGAACCACCACCTCCAGAATTATCAAAACGTGGAATAGCATCTGTTATTCCCTTCTACGCGGATGTGAAAGTTATCCTGCCTCTGATAATCGCTACAATTGCTCTAGTCTCAGCTGCCGTAATAGTTGCATTCCGTTGGCGAAACAGTAAGTTTTCTTAGTGAGAAATAACGATAATATTTAAAAAAAAAAACCCCCCAAAAAAATATAATTGAGATCATATTTTAGGATATTTGGGAGACCGTGTTCAAAGACCGATGAAGGAATCTCAAGAAAATCAACAAAACGCTGAAACACAACGAGAACGTTATTACGCAACTATTCACAAGGTCGCCCTGCAACAGGCAGCGAGTACTGGTGCAGGTCCCGACAAGATTCCAGGTGAACCTTTGTTACGATACGGACGACAGCCAGGTTTGGTATTATAATTACTTTACAGGTAAAATGCGCGCCGCTCATCCAATCATGCGATAATTCATGATGCAGCAGCAGGTCGATGATGAGTGAACGATATTCAAAGAATTAACTGATTACAATATTGTTTTTCTTTTTTTTAAAATATCATTTAGGTTCTCGGTCCATTCTTCGAATATCTATCGGAAATCGATCGCTGAATGTATAACGCGTCACATCAAGGTATAAAGAGTATAATCATTAAACATTTCAAATTCTATCAAAGTCTTTCTCTAGATACACGGATAAGCAGAATTATTGGTCAGACGCGATTTGAAAGGTAGGCAATGCCTCTGATGGGTTACAGAGACAGCGGAGGACATCTCGCCGTACGCTACGTTCCAGCTTTCGGAGGGTGGAGGGGGAAGCCTGGCAGGGCTGGGAGGATTGGGAGGACTGGGAGGCGCGGCGGAAGCATCTGCGGCAGGTCTACATCCGAACAACACACTTCTTCACAGTTTCATGTATCACGAGCACGCTATGACCGAGGGTTGCGCGAGTCCTCCGCCAGCGGCAACGGTATCTATTTTTTTTCTTTTTTGAAGTGAAAACTTCTTTAGAATAGGTGTGATTTGAAAAAAATGAAACGCGGTGATGTAGTGGAAAAACGAAACCGGGATGTAATGGGGAAAAGAAACTGCCTTAATACTAAGTAAGAAGAAAAAAACATATAGGATTGATTGACATATAAAATACTAAATATTATTCTAAAAATATGCATAAGTTAATTACAACATTAGAGTTCAATTTTTATCATTATTTATAAAAATATTTGATTTGCAAACATTTTTGAAAGTGTTCTATCATTTACTTTCTTAGTAATTATTATAAAAATGTGCGCCTGTATGAATGCAATCCTCCAGACACACTTTGAAAATGTTGATTGCGAGCGCCATCTATCGGGATGGAATTTTTTTCTGCCCAAAAGATAGGCAACCCGTCGTACATACGTGTATAAACAGTTTTGACTGCAAAATAATTCCGTCTCAGTAGATGGCGCTCGCAAGCAACATTTTCAAATTGTGTCTGGAGGGTTGCATAAGAACAGGCGTGCATTTTTATAATTAAATTAATAATAAAATAAATAATTACAAATTAAAAGTATAAATAATATTATAATAATATTATATAATAAATTATATATCCTCGAAACTTGTTTATTTAAAGGTTTCACTTCTAACTTGTGTGATGTGCACACATGTTTTTTTTTTATGAAATTAATCAATTTGACGAAAACTATATATACATATAATATTTATCGAATTATTGTTCAGAGTATGAAGAGTGTCTCGTCGAGGAGACGACAACAGAGAAAGCAACAGACCCCGGGCGACGTCGAGAGCGACGAGAGCGAGTCTGACCCGGATCAGCTGACGAGCTCTCGCACAGAGTCTTCCAATCAACTCGACGCTGGCAAACTCAAACACAGTACGTTAGATTATTTTTAATCTTTTTTTTATTTTCTATAATTCATTTTATTGAATTATTAAAAAAAAAAAAAATTATTTTTCAGTTCGAGCCGTTTCAGACTTCATTTATCACGGTACATCGAGCACTTCATCGGACATCTCACCGATGTCGGAACAGAAGTCGTTACCACGAAGAGGACGATCTAGGTAATTTAATATAATTCATTATTATTTAATTATTTCGTTTGTTTCCACGGATTACTTTAAAAAATACCACCACCATTGTTTTATACGTATGCTTATATATTTGTTTTATAATAGCTTATAACTAATTGAGATTTATTCTATAATTTATACGTCACATATATATATATGTATATATGATAAACCAAATCAATAATATTTTTCAATTAACTATGTTTATTTTAATTTAAAATGGTTCTTTAATTTCATTGATATGTTTTATTTAACACATTCGCGACTGCTGACGTGAATTCACGTCTTTTCAAGTTCTATTCCTGGTTACTGCTGACGTGATTCACGTCATATTATTTTTAATTTTAAAAATTTAATAAAAATAAATTTATATATATAAATTTAAATATTTCGTTATTTTTGCTGGTACTCAGTATTAAAAAAGGAAAAAATATGCCAGCCGCTAATGTATTAATATTAAATCAATTTTGATTATTTTCTTTCTATAACTTTCTAATTTAGTAAATCTAATTTATTTTTATACGATTACTTCTTAATTAATTCTTTTCTTTTTTATTTTGCTGTAATAAAATTTCTAATTTGCATAGAATAAATTTGATGTTTGTTTGTACGGCTATCTTTTAAGATGGCATGTTCCCAGCAGGAGTTCACTGCGTACGTTGCTACCACCAATATCGGTTGCTGAGACTGCTTTTGTAGCGGGAAATCAAGGCAACGTCGTACCACCACACGGAAATGGTGATCGTCCTGAATTAAGCGAGGCCGAATGTGACATCGATTCATTGAAAAAGCTCAAACTAGGTCTGAGGAGTTCCCTTTGGTCAAGACCGAGCACTCAAAATAATCCTTCCTCCGATTACTCTATCGCCGTCTAATTTTTTCTCGCGTTACCACGATCGACCGAATAAAATCCAAATTCTCTTCCAGAAGACCCTTTCATCCCTTTTCGTGGTCCAAGTTATAAATAAATAAAAGAATACAATTTAAATCTTCTTTCCGTGTCTCGTCGAAAAGCTATGATACGTTTTAAATAAACAACATCGAATAAAATACAGAGAGATAGAGAAAGAGAGAGAGAGATAGAAAATAAGTGAAAGAGAAAGAAAATATAGCAAACAAAAAATCATCGTAATGGCGACCGATTTAAAAAATAATTTAAATAACACGGTGTGAGACGAGAAACGTTATACATTAAGCATGCGCATGTTAACAAAATGATTCGTGATGTTGACACGATCTATAGAAATTTCTAGTCATATATACGCGTGAGAGTGCCAAAGAATATAAATGAGAATGAGAGAGAGAGAGAGAGAGAGAGAAAGAAAGAGAGAGAGAGAGAGTAAGGAAAGAAATAAAATAAAATATACTCGTATGTTACGAATGAAATCGCGCTAAATTTAAAAATTCGTATAATGCGATGATGGGATGCAATGTGACACCGAGAAAAAAAAAATATTGCTCTTCTTCGTCCTTCGCGTACCTTCGTAATAATATATATATATATAGGTATATAAATACATATATAGTTCTTATGATCAATTTATCCGAGAGATAATAATCGAAAACACATATCGATCGGTTATCAAAAGGATGATGATAGCCGTATTATCGGCAACAAATTTTCAACCCTTTTTTTACAAGCAGAATGTAACACGTATCTAAATCATTATGATACGTTATTTAACGAGACTGATTTTTAATCACTAGTTAAAATACAAATTTTCGGAATAATTTATTCGACAAAGTTTTTCGATAAGCGACATCTTTTATTCTTACGGTGTCACATTTCTTCATAGCATCGCTACGAAACAATTATGTGTAGTGCGAAGAGCCAAATAGAAGATGAATATAAACATGTAGGTCAAGGGATTGATAAAGAAAAAAGATTAAAAAGAAAAAAAAAAAGAGGAGAGAAATGAAAATTAGTGAAAACGAATGAATAAAAAGATGGAGATGATCTTTCGTTCTTTGAGCGAATATTCGATGAATCGTTGGACTCTGTTACATTGTAAGAATTTCTAACGTACGAGTACACATCGTTAATTACTTTAAGTCCGTTATGATACCGAAAAAAAAAAAAACTTCTAAATAGGACGTTTTACCGTGCGACGAAGAATAATGATCTAGTAAGAATAATAGAGTGGACATTTATCCGACTCTAAAAATTATTATTGTTCACTCTTCGAAGCGAGATTTAGAGGAAAAAAAAAAAAAGAAAAAATAGATAGAAAGGGAAGGAGAGAGAGAGTAAAAGGAAAAAAAAATAAATAAATAGATAATGAAAGAAAAAAAGTAAACGTTTAGTGGAAAGAATCGCGGAAAACTGTAATCTCTCTTCTAATGTCGCGTACACTCGTAAAAAATAATTCATCTAATTGCTAATTAAAAAAAAAATAATAATAAAGTATCACTAAACATCGTTGTTGATATCCTACGTCTGTTCGATTTTCGTTTCGATCGATAATAAATGGGAGAAAGAACAAAATATAATCATTGAATTTTCGTCGAATCGGTGACCGTAATTAGTCGTCGATAGAGTAAAAAATAGAGGTTGAATCTTCAAACAATTCTAAGTTCCAAAAAAAAAAAGTTCCACGACACTGCCAGTCTGCTAACTACTATCGAATGAATCCAATGATAACCTCTGACTGATATATTCATTGTCTTTGGTAACAATCACATTATTTCTGAAAGACTGTTTATGGCGTAAGATATAAAAACTACGCTGACACACTTGGGAACATTATACCAAGATTTAATAATTATTAATAAGATATTGATTGTCGGCCAATCATGGTCGTTACTTTCCTAAACTAACATAAAATGGTGCGCGACAATGCGAAGACGAGGCCGAAAGGTATACGCGTATGACGATGAAATGGTATGAAAGATCAAAGACGATTAAATTTTGTTGAAGATAACGTTTCGTCTTTTGACGTAATTAATATTTGTTTCTTTTTTTTTTTCAAAATTGACGATACAATTTCAAAATACATACACATATATCTATATGATAAAAAATTAATAAAATCACCATTACAAAATATCTTCAACAAAATTTCATCGTCGTTTCTTTAAAAGAACTCGAAGCGTGTTACGTATTTACAAAGGATACTTGCGTTGGTGTATATAAAATAATAAAAAAGATAAAAAAACAAAAAAAAAAAAAAAGAAAGCACGTCAATCAAACTCGTAGAGTTCGATTTGAATTCGTTAGAATCATTTACCGGGAAGCGGGTATTATTTACGAAGAAAAAAAAAAACAAGTCGCGTTTTAAATACGGGCATTGGATGATCGTCCACCGAATTTTTGTACATTTTTTCATTGCGATCGAATTCTCGGTCGATCATCCTTTTTTTTTTTGCTACGTTGACAATTCGGTGGAAAGATTTACAGTGTCACGAATTTACAATTGCGGGATTAATACGATGGCCGTTCATTAAATACGTTGGCGAGATATTTCTAGGAAAACAAAATGATGGAATTTTTCTTCTTCTAAAAAAATGAAATCAAAAAAACAATTTTTACATTAAATGCAATATATGTTCGTCGTATATTTTTAACTGTGTCATTTTGAATCTATTCAGTTTCTCGCAACGATTAATCATCATCATCTCATCATCTCATCATCATAATCATCATTCTATGACACGATTTAAATCTCGCAAACTTATTTGTATAAACGACCCTCGTAAGTATAGCGTACGGTATTTATATACATATGTTTTATCATATTGGATCGATCGATTCTATTGATCTCCTTACGAATAATATATCTTTGAAAGTTACAATTAAAAAAAAAAAAAAACTATTCGTTGGCGTTCGATCCAGTTTCCGATCGCGATTCGAATTTATCGTCTTCTTTCGATCGTCGACTTTCTCGCGCAAAACGATGAAAAAAGACAAAATGATATGTGAGAACAAATCAAACAAACGATTATTACTATACTATTATTAATGTCGTTGTAAAAAGAAGTATCTTGCGCGAATGTGGTATGCTTGTGTGAACGATCTAAGAATCTTATTTCCCTACCCTCTTTTCCCCCTACCCCAACCCCCTCTTTTCCCCCTTTTGGAGCATAATCTCGAACTAAAATAAGTGAAAAATGAAATGAAGAGAATGAAAAATAAAGATGACAATGCTCATCGTGATTTTAATTGTCAATAAACCGATATCTCCGCTAACTGCCAAAAAGTTTCTCTTCCGTTGCGAGACTGCGATTAAACGACGTAAATAAATAATTGAACTGGAACATTATTCAACTCTAATCGTATTCAAAGTCGACGGTATGAAGTTTCGAAGCACTGCGTCGATCATAGAATCGATTTAAATAAATTGATATCGTGTAAAACAAATAATCCGTTTTTTTGTTTCGTTATAATATCATTTTTTCCTTTATATACAAAAGTATACAACAAACATCATCCTAAACGAAAAAGATAACGAGAGAAGTTGAAGTATTCAATCAATGATCGAATTATTTAAAATCCTGTAAGTTCGGCAAATGTGGAATCCATATCGTTGCACATATACCTATATTTCTCCTTTTCTTTAAACAAATAATCTGAAACATATACATGCGTATAAATATATATATATATATAGTATATATAGTATATAAACGTTACTATCTTCGAGAAGTTAAATTTTAAGATAAAAAAAAAAAAGAAAGAAGCAGAAAAAGACAATTTAATTTTCCCACCTTCTCTCGAATCTAATTCTTTAACAAGCACCTTGACGGCCTGCTCGGCTATTATTGCCCGCTTCTCAGCCAATTTTAATTTAACTTTCAATTCCTTCAATTGCGCTTTGAATTCCTCCACTCTTCTATTGGCCTACAAGGATAAAAATAAAGTTACTGTAAGGAATTACGATCGTATTTGTCGATGTTACGTAAATTGTGTTTTGTCTTATACCTTTTCTTCTGATACTTCCAAGGATTTCAATATATTACCGACGATAAACAATTCGTCCTCGCGTTCGGCAATTTTGCTACGAATAAAAACGTAAGTATAAAATGTAAGTGAATTTTTATTAAAATATATATGACGTTACATTATTATTAGATAAAAGAACGTACCCTTCGCTCGATTTAACTCTGTCTTCCGCAGCTTCAAGTTCGTCTTCCACAAAAGCCAATTTTCGTGAAATCTCATCTGATTTAATATCGGCATCTTCAGCAATAAGTCTGGCTTCTTTTAACTGTGCTGTTAATTGATCCATCCTTTCCTCGTCCAATTTGCTTCTATTCTCCAATACCTTACAAATTCTACGTAAAAATATATATTTTTTTGTAAGAAAATAATAATATATGGAATATTAGAAATTTCAATAAATTGAAATGTCGTAGACATACCGTTTTGCATCTTCCGCAGTTTCCATAGCTTCCGTTAACTTATTTTGTACAACTAATCGTTTTTCTTCAGATTTTTCTAAATCTTCCGCACACTGTTGCATCTTTCGATTCAATATAGCCAATTCGGATTGCGTCTGAAAATATTCGATAATGATTAAAATATAAAAACAAGAAAAATAAAACAAAACAAAAAAGAAAGAAAACGAAGGATATTTTGTAAATTGTTCACTGACCATGATGTAAATACTTTCCTTCAGTTCAAGACTCTTAATCGATTTTTTTAATTGTTTTTTGCTCACTTGTAAATCATGTTCCATTTGAATGAATTTCTTTGCAAGTTCTCTTACACCATCCTTTAATTTTTCTTCCTTGCGAATAGCTTCCTTTGCTTGTCGATCGCACACGTCAGCTTTATCTATCGCCAAATCTTTTTCGACCTTCAACGTTTGCAAACGTTTCTTGATCGCGTTCATAGTACGATTCGAAGTCTATATCGATATACTATGTTGTATATCACGATGATAAAGTAACAACGAACCTTCTAATCCAAAGCTCGCGGGTTACTGCACTCGATGACCGATCAAGACAATGCTTTATAGACTCAAAGAAATGCAAAAGAAACAATGCGCCAGGTTCTTTAGTTAGACTCAAACGAATTCTTCGACTAGTTAGCGTTGTGGTCTGATTTATTCCGCCCGTTTACAACAACTGACCGACGATAATTCGGATAAAAAGAAATAGACGAAAAAATAAGTAGCTTTTTCAAGCGTATTTCTTCTCTCTCGACAATAGTTACATCACTTTTTTTCGTGAGATAAATGATAGGCGTACTAACAAAAGCTTAAACCTTAATGTTTATAATTAATGATAGAAAATAATAGTAATAGATAGAAATTTTGTTGTAATAGGCATTTATTGAAAATACAGAATTGAGAATACAACAATAAAAAGGGAAAGAAGAGTAGTATCGTACTTTTTTTTTTCTGTCACGTATCGCGATCTCGCCAAATTTATCCACGTAGATGCTTCTGAAAGAAAAGAAGCGACGTATCAGTTCTATCTGAAGAAAGTATAAGTTTCTCAAGCGACCGTGAGCCAGTATTCACTGACCCCGTAGATCTTGGCAAGGTGTTATGCATAGAGCAAAGCAGCTACGATTAAGAACTAACAACGTGCATACCTTCTACGACAGTTAACTTATCGCGAAGCAAATTATATTAAAGCCATATAAGTATTCCTTAATAGATTAAAATAATGACACGAATCAGCATATAAGCACATCGGACAGAAATGAAAGGACGTCCATGTTAGATGTAGCGAATAAGCGGAAAAAGCGCTTAAGATGTAATAAAATAATGTAAAATCGAATTTTTCTAGACGATCTCAATAACCCGTCATCTCGGCGAACGTGGCATCCATGTCGTCACAAACAGCCTTGTATTTCTCCTTCTCCTCTCTTAGCTCGTCTATAAATAAAAACGTCAACGTGCGATGTCAAATCTATCTTCCAAATTAATTTAACTTTCGTTCATTCTTAACCGATATAATCATAATTGTGATAATACCTTCTTTGGTATCCACTTCCTTCAATAATAACTTGACTGTCCTCTCGGCCATAATAGCACGTTTCTCGGCTTCCTTTAACTTCTTCTTCAATGACTTCAATTGCACTTTAAAATCCTCCACTCGTTGATTCGCCTACAATTAAACGTCGTTACGCATCATTGTTATCAATGTAACTGTGAAAAATACGTAACTTACCTTCTCCTCGGATACCTCCAATGACTTGACAATATTCTGCACGATGAATAATTCGTCTTCACGTTCAACGATCTTACTGTTGTTTTAACAGAAAAAAATATTTCGATTTAGATCGAGTTGTTATAGTTCATAATACCTTGACATAACATCATTCGACAAATAATTTATACTAACGCTTCGCTAGTCTTAACTCTTTCTTCCGCGGCTTCGAGTTCCTCTTCAACGAATTGCAATTTCCTCGAAATTTCATCTGATTTCGCATCAGCATCTTCAGCTATCAATCTTGCATCTTTTAATTCCGCCAACAGCTTTTGCGTACGTTCTTCGTCGAGTCGACTCCTATCCTCCAACACTTTGCACATTCTGCAGAAAGAAACTGCAATTAAGTATTCTTCGGTATTCTTCAATCGAGATTATCAATCATCCTTCTCTAAATTGTATAATAGATTTTTGTCGTGTTATTGCTCAGAATTTTATGGTCACTAAGTGCAAACCTTTGTGCATCATCAGCGAGTTCCGTCGCACGTGCAAGTTTCGTCTGAGCTGTAAGACGTAATTCTTCTTTCTTAGTAAGACTCGCTTCAATTTCCTGAACCCTTTTCGTCAACGACGTTCGATCTTGTTCAGCCTGTTAATGTAACAATATCAATTGATTAATTAATTAATTAATTTTTAACCGAGATATAAAACAAGAGGAATATAAAAAGTAAAAATCATATTTACGCACTCTAGACCAAGATTTTTCGCATTGTTCCAAATCGGCAGTAGATTGTTCAAGCTGAGTCTTCGTTGTTTCGTAATCCCTCTCGAGTTGGTCCAATCGTTTCTGCAAATCTCTCAAATCATCATTCAATTTATCAGCTCGCATATTTTCTTGCTTCGCTTTATTTTCATTCAATTCGACTTTTTCATTTGCGGCGTCCATCTCCATCTTCAACGCCGCAATTTTCTTCTTAATCGCCTCCATGATGACGGGCGGCTGTACTTGGCGTCTTCCTTACCGATGATCTTTATCAACTTTCGAAACCTAATCAAAATGAGATAGATATAATAAATATAAAAATAAAATTGATTGATCATGCGTGGATCACGTAATATAAAATGACTATTAACACTTGTTCTATATATCGGTAATGTAATCGTTATTTACTCAACGTTAAAAAAAACGATCTTCTATTAAAACATACAAATACAAATTTCATAAATAACACGATCATATTTAATAACGATAAGTCGCAATACCGTTGAAAAGTTAATGATTTTTTATTAAGTTAATAGTATATCACTCACTGTGATATCGTAGCGATGATCCACGATGTGAGAATGCACAACCGGATGCCTTCGAAAGCTAAGCTAAAATAAAACGAAACCGGTGTGGCACGGGCCTCCACGAACTCTTCGATCGAATCCAATTCTATAATTGCTTGGCGACTTTGGCTATGGTCCCGATTTTACCCTGGCTCTTAACTGGTCGATCCTCCTCACTATACTGACTACTAGCCGCGAAACGCGATCTCCGTCTTCCCATGCTATTCTCGTCCTCTAAAAGAATCTCGTTCCTGTTTTCTGATCGACCACGTAACCGAGTGGCCATTGTAAACAGCGAACATTGGGAATGCAATACCCGATGCGTCTTGTTCTTCGTCATTGTACTCAATTTTTCGATTCAATTTCAAATTAATTTCATCAATTTTCTTCAAATCGAACATTCGAATTTTCCCGCTTCGATCTTTTACCGATCGACCAATCGAATCGCAACGTATCACGTGAAATTAAATCAAACTCAAACGCGCCAGAGACAAATTTTTTTGAAAATTGGGAAGCAATTGGAAAGAAGTTTTTCAAAGGAACGAGCTTTTGGGTTAAACAAAATGGACTGCAAAATGTTAAGTGCAAATAACTTCACTACTCCCTGTATGTATACATATATCAGTTACAATACATGTCTCTTAACAGATCATTTTTATTCTCGACCTAATATTCAGGACATAGTTTTAGAGAAGAATTAAGTTTTACAAGACGTATTATATTTACGTTCTTAGATTATGCATAAGATCGTTGATTTTTTTTATGTTATTATATAATACAATACATAGAATTTAACATAAATTGTGTGTATGTGTGTGTATATGTGTATGTAGGGAGTACGGTTAAAATTAAAAGAGAAAAAAAAAATCTAGTACAGATACTGTATATATTCCCGATACTCCCGTCACACCTTTTTTTAGAAACCTTTTAGAATTTACACACAAATAACTATTTCCTTATGTTTTCATTTAATTTCTTAAATATTTTTCAAACTGCACGCACTTATCGTGCACAGTCTCATTGTTCCAAGTATATCTATAGATATTTTTAAAAATTTTTTTTTTATTTTTATTTAATACTATATCACAAAAAGCAATCCTTTTAGAACACAAACTTTTGATATCGTATCGCAGATTTTCAAAACTCTTAAAATTTTGCATACATAAATACATTAATTGTTTTTCTTATAACAAGAATTAAAAAACATATTTAAATGCTAATAGCAAGCAACAAGAACACATTTTTTTACAAAGTCTTAAATAGAATAAAATAGTTATGAAATTGTATATTTTTGAAATATATAATGTATAGAAATATAAGATAATATACAAAAACTTTCAAATTCTTATTTTATTCGTAATATTGTATTTCATATGTAATTTTTGTTTGATATTTTTATTATTATTATTATTATTATTATTATTATTATTATTATTATTATTATTATTATTATTATTATTATGAATATAAT